TAGTTTATTTGGCTCTTATTTAACGTTTTGGATGTGAAAGCAATTGGGTTTTCCGACCCATCTGGATACCTATGCGATATTACGACACCGAGTCCGTATTTTGACGCGTCCGTTGTAAAAATTATGGGTAGCTTATCGTTGTGGTGCACGAGCTGGGTCGCTGTTATTATATCATCTTTAAATGCTGTAAAAGCAGTGTCCTGAGCCTCGCTCCATTCAAACTTTTGCCCTTGCCTTCTCAAGATATTCTATGCGGACGCCTTTGCGGAGAAATTCGGGATAAACTTATTATAATAGTCGATTTTCCCAATGAAGGCTTCTACTTCATGCACGTTTTTATGCCGAGACATCATTCGGATCTCCTCTAAACGTTTGGTTGAGGGTTTAATGCCGTTAGCATCAATTATGTGACCGGCGTATTAAATTTTCTGACTGACAAAGGTGCATTTTTCTGGGCGACATCCAACTCCAACCCAACTGAGCATACATGCGCGTCTCGTTGGCTCTTCCGTCACCCCATTAGCCAGAAAATGTTGATCTAACTGCAGTATGTATGTACACCATATATCATTAGATTTATTGAATGAACGAAAATTGGGTATGGCCGTTTGCCGCTCCCCAGCCACTTTATTTTCGCGAATAGTCTTTTCAAGAAGATCTCTATTTTCCTTTATCATGCTCGCTATAAATGCCTGATTCGAGGCCTGCAATTGATTAAGCACCTGCTTCAGCGCTTTGGCATCCATGTCGTAGACAAATAAGGTTACTCCCGGGTTATATAGGCTGGACTCCTCGTCACCAGATAAATCTTATAGCGGCTGACGTTCGGATGAAAACAGAGTTTGTAGATTTAAACTAACTATTTATTAATCAAAGTAGATACAATATAGGTTGCATCAAAAAACGCGTGGAGCTCGGTTACCAACGTATAGCCAGAAGAAAGATTACGAACGAAGAAGGAAGAGAAAAGCACGACTAACCAGCAACAGCAGGGTTGCCTTATGCCGATTGCTAACAATCTTCAATTAATAATAGCTTGGTGCTTACACATATGTTAGTGTTTGGCCGAGCTTCTCCTCCGATTTGTGGCGTACGCCTTGATGTTATCACACAAAGAGGAGGGACCTACGTTTTACGCCGACTGCGAATAGCGACTTTTCTAAATTTGTTGCTTTGACCAGGGCTTGGTCGTCCTAAATTATGTTACATAAAAAAGGTTATGAAGTATGCAAACGTACATTTAAATAATTTCAAATCGGCAAAACATTTTAAAAAAATCTGCTTTTAAATCATGTGCAATATTTTTTTCTTGCCATGGAAAATGATGAAATATTCTTTTTTTGAGATCATGAATATAGAGATGTAGTTTAGCTTAAATACTTAAAACAATTTGCAACAAATCAAAAACATTTTTATTCTGTCCTTGTTTAGACGAATTCAAGTTTTGCAAATGTTCCATCATATCGGTAAAGAACATTAAGTCAGCAGGCCAATTTTCAATATCCAATTGCGGGAAATGTTCCGATCTCAATTTGTATATAAAAAGAATAAAATAAAAAACAACACAATGGAAGAGAATGCCCAGCAAAGAAGCAGAGCTGTAAAACTGTGAAATCATTCATTGATTGATCATTGATTTCATTCTTTTTCCTTTTGTCTGGTAGTGTGTCTTATATTTTTTCAATCTACAATCATTAAAAAACAAATTGATTTCACACAGCAAGGTGGTAAATACCTGAATGAAAAACTGAGAATGCTGAAGTATACAGAATTCAACACTGAATGAGCCTACAGATGAATACAAGACTTTTCTATGTGTGCATTCTCTAATTCAGTTCCAATCAAATTGTATACACTCAGAAAAATACACATGTAAGTTCAAATTGGGTACCGCAGATAATGGAATAATGAAGTCTAAGAGCTTTACAAAGAAATTGATATGATACGCGATCAGAGTACAGTGGTTTCGCGGCATAAGCCATGTTGGTTGTTTAAAAACTGTGTGCAAAATTTGCCAAGACAATTGGTATCTATAATCTTTTTCTTTAAAAGATGGGAAACATGCATAATATGAAATATGTATTCATGCATAACAACCATTAGCTTTCATCATTCAGTCCATGATTTATCCACGTCCATACATGTAATGTCCATTTTTAAAATACATACTTATGTGCCCATTTTCGCGCGACCACTCTTTATGACAAATTTTTTTGTACAAACCGATATTTTCATTTCCCAATACCAGGCGCTCGCTCATACATGCGAAATAACAAATTTTCTATATATTTCTACGTACAAAATTGTTTGTATAAATTTTTAAATTTCCAAATTTCAACTTTGTAAAGTTCAAAGGCTTCTACTAAAAAAAAATTTTAATTAAAAATTTCTGCAAACAAATTTATGCGTATAGAAAGCTTGCTATTTCATATGTATGAGCGCCTGGTATTGGGATATATTTAGGCGCAATATTTAACTTCTTCTGGAGGGGCGACATCTGGAGTCTTTTAATTGTATCCCCTTGATATGATGCCTACAACGAGGTTCATATCTACACTAGAAATAGCTTTGCTACACTACCGCCGCGGCGCGCCGGCAGCTTTAACAAATTTATAGTGGTTTTACGTTCTTTGGCAAATTACGCTAGGTTATCCATAAATCTTACTATTTTTTGACCGCTTTTGGATCAAGACCCCTGGACCATATGGAGAATTCATTTATATTTTACATTGCAGTGTCATCCTGATTGGAACTATGCTGAAAATTTCAAGTCTCTAATTTGTCGGGAAGTCAGTTTAAAATCGATTGGAAATTTCCGCGATTTGCGCGGGATGACCAAGTTAAATAAAAGCTTATAAAAAGCAAATGCTTGGCTGTTGTCGCTGTGCTAACAGTTTTTCAAACCCTGATAATTTCTATAGATATTCGCACGATGCAAATAATTTTTGCGGTTTTTGACAATTGGAAGAAATACAACTTCGAAAGTCTTTTTTAAACGATTTTTCATTTTGCTACGTTAGAGCCGTTGCCGAGAAACTTATGGATACATATACATACGCACAAAAATTGCTCGTTTAAGGTAATTAGAATAAGGGGCAAAATTTCCCGCAAAACCCCCCATCAGGAAATTCTGGATCCGCCGCTGATATATACCTTATTATAAGCGCCCACCATAGATATGTCTGCATCCCAAATTCAAAGTTCATGTGACTTATGATTTCGAGGTTATAGCTGATAAAAATTCCACGCCTATTGGATGTGCCACGCCCCCTTTTATAAACTCATGTATATATACATACCTTACTATAAGCACCTACCGTAGCTGTGCTTGCATACCAAATTTAAACTTCGTGGGGCTTATGGGTCCGAAGCTATAGCTGATAAAAAATGTCACGCCTTTTGGAGGTGCCACGCCCCATTGTCGAATCCCGATTCTTTTCTCTCTAATATAGGCCCAGGTGTCGTGGCAATACTGTGTCCAAATTTCGTTTGATTCTGTCCGTCCGTTTAGGCTGCAACCTGGCACATACATACATATATGTACATACATACTTCCACAAATATATAGTAACGGGTGATTTTTTAAGAGCTTGATAACTTTTTTTTTAAAAAAAACGCATAAAATTTGCAAAATCTCATCGGTTCTTTATTTGAAACGTTAGATTGGTCCATGACATTTACTTTTTGAAGATAATTTCATTTAAATGTTGACCGCGGCTGCGTCTTAGGTGGTCCATTCGGAAAGTCCAATTTTGGGCAACTTTTTCGAGCATTTCGGCCGGAATAGCCCGAATTTCTTCGGAAATGTTGTCTTCCAAAGCTGGAATAGTTGCTGGCTTATTTCTGTAGACTTTAGACTTGACGTAGCCCCACAAAAAATAGTCTAAAGGCGTCAAATCGCATGATCTTGGTGGCCAACTTACCGGTCCATTTCTTGAGATGAATTGTTCTCCGAAGTTTTCCCTCAAAATGGCCATAGAATCGCGAGCTGTGTGGCATGTAGCGCCATCTTGTTGAAACCACATGTCAACCAAGTTCAGTTCTTCCATTTTTGGCAACAAAAAGTTTGTTAGCATCGAACGATAGCGATCGCCATTCACCGTAACGTTGCGTCCAACAGCATCTTTGAAAAAATACGGTCCAATGATTCCACCAGCGTACAAACCACACCAAACAGTGCATTTTTCGGGATGCATGGGCAGTTCTTGAACGGCTTCTGGTTGCTCTTCACTCCAAATGCGGCAATTTTGCTTATTTACGAAGCCATTCAACCAGAAATGAGCCTCATCGCTGAACAAAATTTGTCGATAACACACATTTCGAACCGAACACTGATTTTGGTAATAAAATTCAATGATTTGCAAGCGTTGCTCGTTAGTAAGTCTATTCATGATGAAATTTCAAAGCATACTGAGCATCTTTCTCTTTGACACCATGTCTGAAATCCCACGTGATCTGTCAAATACTAATGCATGAAAATCCTAACCTCAAAAAAATCACCCGTTAGATATCTATCCTTCTCTTAGCGTAAAATAATTTTTGAGAATATTTCGACCCCAGCGCCTCCTATCGTGTAATTTTTTAGTCCAAATATTCCTTTTCAATTGGCTAACTTATGTTCAAAATATGAGCCAAGTCAGCAAGTAAATGCAATTTTTAGGAATCTCCTATACTTTAAATGAGTACCATATCGATAGTCTCGGTTCGATATCGTGTCCCTAGATATCATCACTGTAATTAAAATGTTTTAGAACATCCTCTATCTCCTCAAGCACGTAAACATTGCCCACTGGAAACATATTAATTTTTTAATCGTATCGAAATTATCTGGTAATTTTAAATATATATCGTCAATATCTTTACAAAACCGCCCATCGACCAACCTAAATTTACGTTGTGG